GAGGCACCTCATTTTCAGCATTCCGTCATTTTCTCGGTTCGCGTGCCCGTGTACACGCACTTCAATTTTGACATCTACAATACACATTATGATCTTCAATCGATCAATAGATCTTCAATCGAAACCTACCATACTTGAATCGAATCAATAGATCTTCAATCTGATCTAAGAATGATAAAGTAGATGAAACCTAGCATACTTGAATCGAATGATTCCGTCAGTAAGAAGATAGAAATGAGACTGATCAATACTTACTATGAAGAAAGAGCTGCAAACGCGAACGCGAACGCGAACTAGAGAAGAGGCTTGAATCGATCTATGAATACTTGAATCGATCTGCAAATACGAAGGGGCTCAGCTACGGTTCTACAAATATGAAGGGTTGTCTCTGAAACGAAGGGGTTTGAAGCGAGATGGATTGAAATCAAGGGTTTAGAGAGAGAGAGCAAGACTGAGAGTGAATAATACTTGAACCGATCTTCGAATACATGAATCGATCTACGAATACAAAGGGGTTCAGCTGCGGTTCTACAAATACGAAGGGGTTTGAAGAGAGAGAGAGAGAGAGAGACAGAGAGAGAGACTGAAATCAAGGTTTAGACAGAAGGAGGGAGAGAGTGAATGCGCTGCATTATGTTCTCGCATATTAAAAAAACATAAAAGAACACATTCGAAGGCGTTTTAAAAACGACTTCTGAAATTAAAACGGTGTCGTTTTAATAAACAAAATGCGACGTTTATAAAAACGCCGTTAAATGTTAAAAACAGAGGCATTTTTTTAAACGTCGCTAAATAAACGCCATTAAATCCCACCATTCTTGTAGTGAATATTTAGAATTCCTGCCATTACTCTAAAGAGATTCACCCTTTATGTGCCTGATTGATACCAAAATCCAAGAAAAAGAAACTAGAAGCATTATATATAAGCACACTCCAAATTGATTTTGCTGCTATTATTCTTCTTTAAAATACTTATAAAAAAAAAGTATCTCAGGTGTCTGGGGCTTCACTTCATGGTACTAATAACAAATAAAAATGTATTACTAACAAAAAAAAAAAAACATCAACCAGAGAACCCTAACTTTAGATTCATCCAATCAAGGAATTAATTAAATTTGCAAAAGTCTGTCATATACAGTTGTTTAGTTAAAATAAAGAAAGAAAGAAAAATCAACATCTACCCAAATTTTGTAGATTTTGTAGATTTTGTAATGTGTTTTCATTTGAAATTAACAAAATCCGATCAAAATTGTTATGTGAAGAAAATATGGTATTGTTGATTAGCCATAAATTGACAGTTGAATACCGTAAGAATGTGTCACATTGCTTTTATGGTTTGGGCTTTTTGCATCTGATGCCTATAATCATGAAGCTTATATCAATCAAGAGAGGAAAAAAAAAAACAACAACAACAACAAATTGAGACACAACAATAAATAACACATTAAAATGTGTAGATTAGTGGGGGATGGTAATAGATTATCCCAATAATAAAAGCACTTTCATGTATGGGTGATGTATAAGCTTACATTAACTAGTGAATTAGGTACAAATCTAGCATCCATCTTTTAATTATCTTTACATGTCACAAATTAGATAGATGATTGGATTGTTGTCGCTGCCATTGTCACCACAAACACCAAAAATAATAATGAATCACTTCTAGTGATTTGGAACTTTTATTTGCCATCTCCTATAGACAGAGAGAACATTGAGTAATAATTTTAAATGTTGTGACCGTCATGTGCCTAATTTTCCACAAATCAAATTTGAATAAAGAAGGTGTCATGCATGAGACTAACCTGACATTATTATTATTATTATTATTATTATTATTATTATTATAAAAAACTTCAAACATACATGAAGTGACATTAACAATTGCAAAACATCATGATTTTTTGGACTGTATTGATTAAACATACTCAAATATTTTTTTCCTTTCTGCACTGTATTAAAGAAATAAAAAATAATCATACAATGATAATAATTCTACATAATCAAAAAAGTTCTTCAAAAAGCTATTGAGAAATATCTAACTCAGACAATAGACCCAAGTTTATTTATTATTATTATTATTATTATTATAAAAAACTTCAAACATACATGAAGTGACATTAACAATTGCAAAACATCATGATTTTTTGGACTGTATTGATTAAACATACTCAAATATTTTTTTCCTTTCTGCACTGTATTAAAGAAATAAAAAATAATCATACAATGATAATAATTCTACATAATCAAAAAAGTTCTTCAAAAAGCTATTGAGAAATATCTAACTCAGACAATAGACCCAAGTTTATTTATTATTATTATTATTATTGTTATTATTATTATTATCATTATATATAAAAAATAAAAAATAAAAAAAGGACGCTCATATTTTAATATGAATCGATTTGTTCAGTTTTAAAATTATTTTTTTTCAATTTTCGATTCGGTACCAGTTTTGACATATTGTATACCGATTTCACTGAAACCGACCGTAGATGTTTACATATAATAAAATTATTATTTTAAGTTTTGGTTTTATTTTGATGTTATCTTAAATTATATTTTATTTCTAATTCTAATTCAATAAAAGTTCAAGCATTAGTGTTTATTATTATTTTTTGTTTGTATTTTGGTGAATAGTTGGATTGGATATGGTTAAAATTATGTACAAATAGTTAATTTAATATTTTTATATAAATTATTTATTATACTACAAATTTAGGAAACGACTCATTTCAAAAGTACTTAAGTTGATTAAACCACATTACCGTTTGAATCGGTGCAGTTTGATAAAAAATTTAATCTGTATCGATTCTCAATATAATAAAATCGACATTATTAATTTGATGCAAAATTTCACCTAAATACTGATCATCCCAAACCAATTACATCCCTACCAGCAGGACACACAATGAACTTCACCCATATGGCACGAGGGGCAAAGTCTCGTCAGAGTACAACTCAATAAATCCGAGTAATGTTAGGGACATCAAATTTTCTACCAAGCAAATGATCAAATGTCTCACATGGGTGTGGGGTCCGCAATTTTGTGGGTCCCACACCCATGTGAGACATTTGGTCATTTATTTGGTAGAAAATTTGGGACCTCTAGCATTTTCCCAATAAACCCTGCTTTTCTGTATGAAAGGCATGTGCATTTGCTTCTATTTTGTTTTGGGCTTATCGTCTTATGTGAACT